GGTACATGTACTTCATACAATCATTCACTCAATTATTTTTTCTTTTTGTTTTTGATATTGTTTATTAGCACAGTAACAAATGCAGACATAAGAAGTCTGCAACATATAGCCAATCCACTGAGTGACTCCTATTCCACACCTTAACAGCTTAAGGTATTTCACTACAGTTTTTCACAAGTCCTGATTTAAACCTTTAAAGTAGATTTGCATGTAAAATAAAATACACTAACTACAGATTTCCTACATGGTAATGATAATGTATAAATATTATTGAGTGAAAAGATAACAAAATAAAAAGAGAGAAATGTAAGAAAGTTGCTTTTTTGATTCAGAAAAATATCTAAAAATATTTGTAAATAAAAACTGACATGCATAAAAATCATAACCTTCATATTTCAGTAAATGTATGTTTGCTGTGTATATTTTTGACTTTTTTATTATAATGTTCCAAACAGGTAAAAACTTAAACACTATTTATATTATTTGTTGCTGGCAAACTCTTATTAGGTAATGTGTTTAAATTTTTCATTTGTCTTAATATAGTAAGTATATATACACACATAACATTTAAAGCACAGATAAGTGTCTATTTCAAAGAGATATTTGAAAAATGGTGTCATACATTACAGAAGAACTTCAAAGAAGGATGAAATATCATAAAAGAATTTCTTAACATTTTTCTTGTAAGTTATTTGAGATGCTCACCAGAATGATCTCTGAATGCCAGGGCTTCCCAGGTTTCAAGTGCATCTCAACTTCCAGAGCAACAAAATAGAAGCCTTTCTTAGCTTACCATTTCCCAAAATCAAGATAAACGAGTGGACTGCAGGATAAACACATCCTATGATCTGAGTAAGAAAAAGTATCAGTTTGTTCTGTATCTCCACAGAATAGAAAGTTGCCATAATGACAGTGAGGAAATATATAGCAAATAGTAAGAGGAATGATACCACAGATTTTATGGCTCTTATGTGAGCCTTGACACAAGGATCCCTAAATCCTGTTGCATTGAGCTTCATATTCTTGAGATTCTTCCTTAGAGAGAATATTAACAGGAAAAAAAAAAACTCAAGGATGCCAAAAATGGTATGAAGCCTCCTATAATAAATATAATTATTTTTGAAAAGTCTTCAAAATCACTCCTTTTGGAAATCAAAGTCATATTTATTTCACATGGATACATTTCATTTTTCTTCCATCTTATCACAGCAAGAGTAAAAGGCAAAAAGACTAATGTTCCCAGCAACATCATAAGAACAACCATTTCAACTCTGTGCTTTAGGTGAAGAAAAACAGGATTTGAAAAATTGGCTATCTTGAGAAAGTAAAACAGGCTGAGGCTTGTTGTGAGCCATGTGCTATAATGGTTGGCCAAGATCCCAGCAATACCAATAAGTATACATTTGTTTGAACTCAAAAATGAAGATGGATAAAATGCCCTTGGTAAACGATGCATTATTAATGCCCAAATCAGCCAAATTCTGGAGATCGCTAAAGCAGTGAGGATTTGATCGGCTAAGCAGATCATTCGTATCTTGACCCAGTCAATGAAGTTCACCAGTATTATGAATCCATTTCCTAAAATCCCAGTAATGAATTCTGTACTTATTATAATGGTGAAGATGATATGCAAGGCACTTACCATGTCTTCAAAGAAAGAGGGCAATATGTAATTGCAAGATTGACGATTTCTTGATTTATCACATGTAAATGGTATGTGTATTTCTTTCCTGGATGTCTTCTTTTAAAAAAAAAATTATTACAAGCTCAATATCAAAGTAGGAAGCACTAACGTGTACTAATGGATGGATATGTAGCTCTCTTCATTAAAATATCATTTTCCTCCAGACAGTTGCATTCTGATCCAGACACTGTGGGCTCTCAACATAAACTGAAATTTCTCATACTTGACTGTAAAAGAAAAAAACTGAACTCTCATTTGCTAGCATGCAAATTGACATATTACCTTTCAGTATTATGCAATGTATGCTGTGCATCCGTACAATTTGCTCATGATTTGAGTTGTTATAAATAGCATTTCAAAACTCAATGCATTGGTAGATGGAGTTTGGTAAGCATTAAAATCATTTCCACTGAGAAGCTATGAAAGAATGCTGAAGGGATATTTCCATAATTGATGCAAAACTTTTTCTGTCCAAAGCATTCAAGTTCCCTGAGTGAACCCAAAGAAGGCCTAACTCCACAATCTGGGTGCTGATACTTTCCTTTTATTTATAGTTTGTGCACTTGCAAACAATCCACAAATAAACATGTACATTGGAGAACCACCTTGTGGATTATTGTTCAAAAATGACAGGTTTCTTTTAGGCAATAGGAAAATGAGGCTCAGAAAAAATATCTGGATGAAAAATCCTTTGCTTTTCTCTCAAATAATTCAGATTTTCTGCCCTCATTAGTGTTTATTAACTTCTTCTGATATTAAAAAATCATATTAGATATTAAAATATTTCAAAACATGATTATTATTGATATTATTTAATACTTAAGTGAAAATATTCAGAAAACATGGAATCATTTACAGAGTTTGTGTGAGGTGATGGAACCCTATATTTATCCCACAAAATGTCTTAGCAAAAGCCAATATGATATTGAGAGTGAGAAGAAGCTCATTGGCTGGACATGTCTTTTCCTCATGTGGACCTGTCTACCACTCAGTCAGACCCATCCACACCTGTAGTCATCAAAGTCCTTTGGATTTTACTCAGCTTCCCTTAATAATCCCCAGAAACATCCACCCTGTTAAATCGGACTCCAATGTAAGTATTTATAGGTTTCCTAAACAACATTTTGGAACAAAATCACAATACATTTTTATTTCTTCAGGAACATTTTAAGGCAGGAAATTAAAATTAACAAAGTCCTATAAAATTGTTAATATTAACCACCAATTTGAAAGGATCAAGATTGAGGAACTAACAAGCAAAAACAGAATTTTAAGGAAAGCTCTCAAGGGTATAAGGCCCAACACACCAGCCAGGCAGAGGAAGGGTGGGCATCATAGCCTTGGCACCTTCTAGGATAGGAAGATGAATTTGAGGACACTACCAGTTCTTAGAGGAGTGCAAAAAAGATGGCATCATCTAGTGGGCTCTGAAACTGACCTTGCACTGAGCTTCAGATGACGAACCAGGATCTGCATTTTAAGAGACTGAATTCATCGCATAAGAGTTCTGTGTTCTTACTCTCCTATCCCTCCACCACACACACACACACACACACACACACACACACACACACATACACACACACACACCATTAGCTTTCTGCATTCAAACAATGGCCCTTAAAGAAAGGGAAAGCAGTCTCACGGAAGGCATATAAGGCAACAAGGAGAATTCCCACACAATATATCCTATAACATTTCTGAACTAAAAACAAAAATGAATAAGAATTGCAAATAAAGATATTGGATTCTTCTAAAATTGCAAAGAGGTTTCTAAATGCATGTTTGTGTGCAATGTTCTTCTGAGCTGTTTTTGACATCTATACTAAACCCATGCATTGCTTAGTGATGGTATATGTTCTGAGAAATGAATTGCCAGACGATTTCATCATTGTGCAAATACCAAAGAGTGTACTCACAAACAACTACTACATACCCAGGCTATATGGTATATACAGCCTATTGCTCCTACGCTATAAACCTGTACAACATGTTGCTATACTGAGTAACGTAAATGATTCTAACACAAAGGTATTTATATACCCCAACATATTTAAACATAGAAAAGTACAGTAAAAATAAAGTATAAAATATTTGCTAAAAAGGTATACTTGTATAGCGCACTTACCACAATCAGCGCTTACAGGATGGAAGTTGCTCTAGGTGCAGTGAGTCACTGGGGTGTGAACCTGAAGACTTAGGACATTGCTATACATGACTTTATAAACACTGTGCACTTAGGCTAAATTACATTTTCAAAAAGTATTTTTCTTTCCTCAATAATAAAACAAATTTAGCTTACTGTAACTTCTTTCTTTTGTAAACTTTTTAAGTCTTTTTTTTTTTTGGCTTTTAAAAAAAAATGTCTCTTTACTCAAAACTTTATCACAGTGCCATTGATTATCTGACAGATAAAAGGGATTTGAATTTCCTCTGTTAGAACATTAACAGTGGACATATGGTGTGCTTTGTCTTTTCTCTCATCTACATCTTCACAGTATACCATTTTGAGACCAACACAGTCAAGCATCTACCGCACTCTAGTCCACATGAACAGAGGATTTCTGATTTTGTCCAGGGCGTAGTGTACCACCTTGCATATTCACTACATGAAATAAACATAATATACAAATATTGCTGCTGTAAAAAGTATATATTTCCCTCTTCCCCTTACAAAAGAATCTGTGGAAAAGTATTAAATCCCCTTAACCTTCATAAACATACAAAGCTGTTCACACCTTTCAGTCTGTAACAGTCCATTTGAAACACAGTTTGGAAATCACTGCAAATTGGCTATGTCATTGCATTTTCTGTCCAATGTTGCCATCTAGAGTAGAAATGTGAAACTGAATATTTTTGAGCTACTAAAGCCTTTTACAACTAAACCACAAAGGCTGCTTGATGATGAAACAGCCACTTATCCATAAGCTTTCTCCAAAAACTACATGGAATGGAAGGAACTCTTCACAGGAAGGTGTCCACAGTGCTGAGGTGACAATATGGCTGCTCATAGATACTGGCTATTGAAATGTAAGTACTTTTTCACAGCTGGTAATTTCCATACTGTCCCTGGTCATATCTATAAGGCCTCTGCTGGGATGGCTGGGATGCTCCAGGTTGTATTGGTCTATATCCCCCATACTGCTGACCTTGTCTTTGTGGATAGTTAGGATACTAGAGACCTGGACCACCCTGTGAAGGACCATAGCCCTGCTGCTGTCCTGGGTAGCCCTGCTGCCCTGGGTACTGCTACTGCTGGGGTGGATATCCTTGTTGTGGAGGGAGTCCCTGGTAAGCATCCTGTTGTTGGCCATATTGTGAGTTTCCCTGTTGAGGTGGTCTATAGAGAGGAATCTGTCTCTGACCCATCATATGATTGCCTTGGTTAACTTGACCCATCATTCCCATGGGTGGCTGCTGTCCTTGGTAATGATGCCCATCTCCTTGTGGCATATTGTATTGCTGAGAAGGGGGCTGCTGATGCATCATTGGACCTTGGTTTGGTTGCATATTCATATTTGGTCATGGGCCATAGTTTCCCATTGGCTGCCCTTGACTCATTGTCATCTGATTCTGTACTGGCATGCTCTGTGATGATGGCACAGAATGGTTGTAACCTCCCATGGATCCATGGCTACTTGAAGGCATATTCATGGAACTGTTTGTCATATTGAGTTGATTGGGTTAAGGTCCCTGCATAGGCATATGGTTAGGCCCAGGCAACTGGCTGTTCACCTGGTTCTGCATGTGTGGTGCAGGAGGACCCCCACCTACCATTCCATCTGAAGGCATGTTGTGAGAGCGTGGAGGTGGGGGAGGGCTGCTCTGATTCATCACTCCAGGACCCATAGGCATATTCTGTGTGGGTGGTGCTGGTAAAAGAGACTGCATATTTTGATTAGAATCTGCTATTGTAGCAAGGTATACCACGTTTGTATGCAACATCTGCTGATACTGAGAACTCTCTGAAGTCTTTCCTTTATTCTGATAGTCCATTATACACTGAATAAGATGGTTATTTTCATCCAACAACTTCTGGATCGTGGCAGGTGTGATCTCCCCCTTGCCTTGATGACACGGGCTGCGAACGCCACAGACATGTTGCTGCCATGACCACTATTGGCAAGTCCCCTAAACTTTTTAAGTTTTAACTACTTGAATCTTTTGTAATAACCTTAAATTAGAACACATACACACTGTAGAGTTGTACAAAATTATTTCATTTCTTTATACACTTATTCTACAATTTTTTATTTTATTTTTTTTTTACTTTGTAAACATTTTTGTTAAAACCCAGACATTAGCAAAAACACATTAGTACACGTTTGTTTATACCAGCATCATCACACACATGTGAGTAGTACATGGCACTGTGACATTATGACAGCTAAAACAACCCAAGATGATGGGAATTTTTCAGGTCCATCATAATCTTAAGGGACCACAAGAATATATATCTTCTGTTATTGATGAAATGTCATTATATAGCACGCGACTGTATTGGAAATATAATTGACATACACTAAGTTGTACATATTTAAAATACATAATTTGATGAGTATCACATTTTTATGTGTCAGTGAAACCATAACTTTAATCTAAGTAAAAAATATGTATATACCCTGAAAAATGTCCTTTATTGTCCCTACATAACTCCTCCATTCTATACCTCTCCATTCTTCATTATATTCTCAATTCTCAATCAGCTACTGATATGCTTTGTTTCTACAGATTAGTTTCCATATTCAAGAATATTATGTAATTGAAATCATACATCATATATTCTTTCTTGTATGGCTTCTTTCACTTAGCATAATTACTGAAAAGATTCATCTATGTTGCTGTATATTAATATATACATTCTTTTTTTATATTGAATAGTACCCCACTACATGGAAAACACCATATTTTTTATCCAGTAACTTATTGATGGATATGTAGATTGGCAGGGATATAAAATG